AAACGCTCTCTGACGACAAATGCGGAGGATGAAGAGTATACGCTGCCGCTTTTGGCACCACCATCAGCAGATGACGCGTCAGTTGAACAAATTCTAAAACAAGTATCGTATTATGCTCGTCGAGCTTCAGACTCTGGGCCATCAATGCTGCATGCGACAAAAATAAATTTTAACGACGAACCAATACGACGTAAGTCCATGCCGTTTAAGTAATCAACTGAATAAATAATTGAATTTTTCTATAATGCTAATTTAAACTTATAGTTCCATGCTGATACTACCGCTTTCAACCATATTATCAGTCGCTTGTGCCACGACATGAAAGTAATACTTGACAAATACAACAGACGCGAAGAGCATCGCGTGCGAGGCGTCCAATAGACCGCCAAAACCTGGCATCAGACGACCACTCCAGCGAACACTGGCGGCTTTTTTTATCAACAAGAGTAACATTTGGCCAAATTGTGCCATCATCACACCAGCAATTGAAAATAGTATTTTGGGCACAACACCGCCAGGTGCGTTCAGCGCAAATCCCCCAACGACAAATGTTAGGCTGCCCACCACCATACCACATAGCGAAGCCTCGACGTTTAATGTCACAACAATATGCGATGGTAGTAGCTTTATATGAGGAAGTTGTAAACGGTACATGATCACATCGCATACGTAACCAGCAAACTGTGCCATCCACATTGCAATGAGCATACCAAGCCAAATTGTCGCCCAAGTGTCGCTCGAATCGCTTGGGTCTATCATTGAGACAAGCAAACCCAACGCTCCTGCAACATAAACGTAACCCAGCAAATCAAGGGTTACTGCAACCACGAGATTAGCAGGTCCATGCGCGGTGAGTGCATGTACGAGTATAATTGCCATTGCGCCTAAGAGTAAGGTTTGGATGGATGTCAGAGGACTTGCACTGCATTCCATTGAAGCTACCAATGGACAGTTCAATGTATTGAATAAAAGGACTTCATAAGCAGCTTTTTGTATCACTATTGAAATTGCACATGATATAGTGGGACAATTTACCACACAGAGTGCAGCGACAAAATTTACCACCCAAAAATAAAAAGTAGCAGATGCGAGATCGTCTGGAATGTTAATCACTGGAAACGCCATTAATGGTAGAAGCACAGTTGAAACGATAACCCAAGAAATAGTACACAAGACAGCTATTACAATCCGTGCGAGCCACAAATTTCCACAAAACACGGCATTTGCCGTTTCTAGTAAGATACCTCGCGAAGCCTCGAAATCTAGATAATGGATAGCAGAAGGTGGATGGGAACACGTCATCGCTTCGGCTTCTGCCACCGGATCGGCAAAACTATCCTTGTCATTTGCATTCATAAACGTCATATTACCATCGTCTGAACAGATCATAGTACCGGTTGGAATTGATGGCATTGATTGAGTGAAAGCTGTCGAAAAATACGTGTGATTTAAATCTCGGTCTTCAGATTTCACGTACCCACAGACTGCTGAGGCGTTGGATCGAGTACTCTCAATACAAGCATTCTCAGCTTCGGGTGATCCTTCACTACCTTCGTACCACTGATAAGTTGTGAGTAATTGTTTGTGAATGCGATGAGACAACCATGCATGCTCGTAAGTGCAGATAGACATCAGTATTGTCGTAAGCATTGATGCGGCCACTATCGGCCAAAAAAGTAAGCCACAAACAATCGTCGGTACCAGTACCAAGCCAGTGCACAAGCGTAAAACCCAGTTCGGATATGAGTGACCACAACATGACCAACAATTAATTCCAAACATGCTTTGCTTTGGTGATTGGGAGCGATCTTGGTGTTCAGATGTTGTCATTTCTTGCTGGTGATCTTGGTCTTCCTTTTCATCTTCATCGACTTTTTCTTTCATGAGTTCTTGGGTTGTCAGTGTCTGTGAGTGATTCATACCACTGTTTGAAATTGGGCTAAACGGATTTGCCGATTCAGCAGGTAGCGCATGGTCTTCTGGCATAATTTTTTTTGCAGATTTAATATTTTGAGGAGTAGGGACATCATCATGGCGTTGCTCCGAGACTCGTATCACCTGATACTTCTCGGTAATAATCGGATCCTCACAAAAAATGTCTACTGCTGCAGTCATGTTAGTTCTTCCTTTTAGGACTTCAGTCGCCTGACTCTTTGAACTCGTTGTAGCAGCACGAGATCGTGTAAGTATTCTAAAACTAGCTGTCATTTGGTTTGATCTTGTCGTAGCCATGCTCACATCATCCTCGTGACTGTCAAATAATACTGTCGGGGCTGCTGAGTGAGTAAAGTGACCATGTGAAGTGCTCATTCTTTACGTAAACAAATCGGGACAACACAGTGTGAAGCTCTGACAGCCACACCTCGGTCGAAAGTCAAGTGCGTGCATAATCACATTGTGATATTTCAATTAAACGACAGAGAACGGGACAAATTGTCGATTGGCAGAGACACAATTTTGTAATCAGGGAGATCTCATAAATTTATACTTCGAAGTACATTGCTAAGTTAAGTGTTGATTTAGTGTCTTGTTGTACTATGAAAGAAAAGAGTTTATTTGTAGAATGATCATAATGTCGTTTCATGATATAAATACAGAGACAAGAACAATAAACAGCTGCTGTCGTGCTAACAATTTTTGTGTCTTAATGTCAATATTGCGTTCCTGCACGACAGCTGGTAGGTACAGTAGTATGATACTGTGTAATATGCTTTGCAAAATGGTGGACTGAAGAATAATAAGTGTTAAAAAATACTAAACGTTGAGTCACGTTATCCTGATTACTATACTCATGCGAACTGCAGCCACAAAGAGATGAATCATCAGCTTTGATAACATAATGATCACTTATATCAGTATTCAAGCAATGTGTGAGCCCATCACGTATTCTTGCTTTACAAATTCGTATGTTTAGTACTCATGAATATTAAAAGTATAAAAATCGTGCTTATATGAATTAACGAATAGGATTAATACATTATGTCTCCAAATAATAGTACTTAAATGACTACCGTATAAGATGATATATTGAATGAAATGAGCATCTCGAAGAATCAACGTGTTTTGAAGAATGTCAAGATAAGCGACGTATAACAAAACTTGCGTCAATATCTCTGTCGAATTCAATCAGAGACTGTTGCTAAAAATTATGCATCAAACAACGAATACTTTGCATCTGCAAGTCCTTTCGTAATGACAGAAACTGCGTTGGAAGCAACCTGATGCATTTTTTTTCGATATCGCAAAGCACCTATAGCCGCAACAGTCAGTGCAATGGCTGCTCCTCCAATCATGACATACGAGTTTAAAGTTGTTTCTTGCTTCAAGTTATGGTGTTGCAAGCCCTTAGCTTCTTTCGTAACGGAGGATTGAAGTTTGTGCGCTGGATCATCACTCGCTGTTTGGTCGGATGCAGAATTTATTTTAGCCTCTTGGGTGGCCGTATGTGCTGCTTGAATCTGACGTAATAGTTGCTACAAACAAAGCAGAATTTCAATGTATATTCTGATAAAAGCCAATGTTAGACACTCTCTTTACCATCTTATCACCATCTTCCAGTATATTATTTCCAGAAACGAAGTTTTGAGCAGCCTCCAATCCGTCGTCAGGCAGTAGCAAATACAGCACCAGAATCTCTACAGCCTTGATGTAATGTTTGACGTTTAAGGTCGTGGCTCCGTCTACAGCTTGTGATATCAATAGGTTTTCTAAACATTGTCTTGCCATCATTCGACGATTCATAGCCACTAAGAAGCTGCTCCATTTAATAACGAAATCATCTGGTAGAGGTGACAAAGCTTTGACGATAGCCGTCGCCGTCTCCACTTCATCATCAAGATCCAATTCAAATACTGCTTGAAGATACACCGACAGGACTCTTTCTCTGCATAATAAATTAATAAAGATGCAATAAAATCGTAGTCTAGCAAGCGATAACATACACTTCCTCTGTCATTCGTAGAGAACTTGAGTTTACGTCTTGTCGAAGCTACAGTGAAGAGAAAATTGAGGATACAATGATGATGTTAACGTAGCTTATATATAGTTTACCTGCATGATGCATGGTGTTAGAAAACTACGACTTTCGCTCAGCGCTCGCGTCCAGTTTCCGCTTATTAGGACATTTTCCACTGCGTTTGCATTTTCAGTGGTCAAAATGTGCATAGGCGGCATTGCTAATGACACATTACAATAAAAGAAATCTCCCTCATTAAGCATATCAACATTGATCAGAAAATAACATTGTTCTACTCGATTAGCCAGTTATCTTCTACTGAATTAGTACTTGCGGCGAATTATATGATTGAGATGCTTGGCACAGTGTCGTGGTTAACCTTAACTATCAACTCTGCTTTAAAGATGGGCGTATTCGAGTTGAGTTAGTGCTCGGTAGATGATAAGCTAAATTATTTATCTTTTACACTAAGCTAACATGTTACTAGAATTATGGCAACCCCCAATACAAAAGATTGTTTTTTAGTACAAGATATTGTTAGATAGAGTCTTTCACTTTTCCCTATTACTTAAGGCTAATCCATTTCCAGGCAAGAGTAAATTCACGTCACCAGAAGCATCGGGAAGTATGTTCAAAGAAAAAGAAACGACAATCGACATCGTTCAATTGGTGAACAATTCTGAACAAGCCACACCAGACGAAATTTTAGCCGAAGCTTTCAAGAGATGCCAATGCAAGAAATTACGGGCAGCCTGCACGAAATTAGGTCTCCATCCTCAGTCTGAACCTTCAATGAATTCTAAAAACGGATACATTCAGTTACTATTGACATATCGACGCGCTCGACGACAAGGTGTATTGTTTACAGGATATTCTAAACACAAGGTTACACATCAGAGACAATCGGGTCCTTCTAGTATCATCAAGGGCAGGACACCAAATTGTGGGTTTGTCCTAGTCAATGTCATCTTTTGTCCTTCTTTAATTACCAGAATTGCCGAATCTGGAGCAGTACCAGGCACAGGAAAAAAGATCAAGTCGGTGGATGGTAATTCTAAATACTGGCGAGATGTAGCTGAGATCTATGCCAGTAGGCCTCTTACTATTCTTAGGATCGAAGGATCATTAGGACGGTATCCTGGTATTGATCCGACACTGGCGGCTCATCATTCTTCCGTAAAGCTTTGTGCAATTTGGAAAGAGATGGTAACCACATACGACGATTGTAATTCGCGTTGGAAACAATCGGAGACGAATCACTTGGGGTTCGAGCAATTTTGTACGCAGATGGATGTACTCTATTTACATGAAAGGTTACAGTTGCAACCTTTTAGATCGATGGATTCACTTCAGTTTTCAGAACGAGTAAGGACGGAGAATAAAGATAGAAGCTCAAACTTATCAATTGAAAGAATCGAAAGTGATCTTGCGAATGAAGTTTCACTAGAAAGTCAGGATTCAAGCACGAATGGAACTCACGATGGAGTTCAAAGACTGAATGCACAAAAGCAGATTTCGGGCAATAGCAGAGTTTGTGATGTTCAACAGCGTAATGTATTGACGAGATCAGAAGCGGTGCATTTACCAATTCGACAAAATTCTGATGTATGGAAAAGGCCTTTGCGTCGAGGCTCGGGTATGGTGAGAGATAGGGTCAATCAAATTTTGAACCCAAAGCGACATCGTGTGAATGTGTATGAAGGCATTATCTTTTCGTCACAAGCAGTGCGAGAAACGATGACAGCACTCGAAGCTCTCAGAAACAGCCGATTTGACAATAAAGTCATCGCTCAAGCCGAAGAAAAGGTGGACGTCATCGTGCAGGCTTGGCTTCGCGAATTAGATAATGTTGCACACGTATGAAACTAATGATAGCGAAAACGATGCGTTTTAAAACGTATATCTTATCGAGTATCCCATACATCACTGCCAATTCAGACATTCGGCTATTTGTTGTACGCTTTCGAAACATTAATATGAAGGATTTTGAATGAAATTTCGATAAATTTATCAAATTAAAATGATAAGACAATCCTCAAAATACAAGAGTTACTTCGAGTCTGGAGTCCAGACTCTGGAACACTCGTTTTTGCAAATTGACATCCGAAACGAAATAATCGCGATGTCAGGCTGTCACGGCAGCCAACTTTGCCTAAAACGCTGACTCTGTCATACCAGGCTACCTGAATGAATGAACAGACGCATCAATCAAAAGGCAGCTGTACATGTCGGTTTGAAGCGATCGTGAAAAAGTTGCTAAACTTATCCAGCCGAAGACGTATGCCTGCGTCACGTTTCCGCCCGAGCAAGTGGAGATGAGAGAAAGAAGAAAAATCCTTGCTTGATATGGACAATGATGACTCACAAGATCTTACGAATTGCGTTGGGGAGTGAAGCGCAAGGTTTAAACGGCAAACGTCAACGTTAAGAAGGGATGGCATGACAATATTTTGCCACAGTGCTGCATAAAAAGCTTAATACTGTATGAAGAGCTGTTATGCAGCGGGGCTGTCGTAGCTTTGCGCTTTGAGGAAGCGTAACTTAGGTCACCGACCTTCGTTCTATACTTGAACAAGTACGAGTTTAGCGGATCGCATTCCGCTTACTCCAATAGTAATTAATGTCTTAACCCAAGGCTAATTAACTCTTCCGTTTAAAATCCAAAACTGACTTTTATTTATTTTTATCTGCGGCAAGGCCGCTTAACTTTAAATGTATAGGTTTTCCTTAATATATATAATACATGCACTTTTACTGGCTACCCAGCCACATACCGTATTATTGTTCGGGTGCAGTCACACCATGCCCATCTCGTGTGACACCCCCCGGTTACCAGGGTACGTGTAACACTGTTAGACTCTCCCCCATTAAGATTGTGAGCATTTACGGTTCCAATCGATTAGCGCCTCAACGAGGCTCGCGTGTCCGCAAGATACTGCAATTTGGTTCATTGAAATAAAACGACTTCTGTGCTTAAGGATCCCTGTGTCAACGACACTGAATTCACCAAGTCTAGCTGGTTCTGACAGCGAACATGGGCAGAGCTCAACTTCGTCTCCCGCACGCGGTGCAATGTCGGACAGTGCGTCCGCGGC